ACCACTTCAGACAAATGGTTCTCCAACATCTTCTTAAAAACTTCCAGTGTTGGAGCATTCACAACTTCTGGAGGCAATAATAGTGCATGTCCATTTTATGCTCTTAATAAAACGTATAATCTAAAAGGATTAACACCCGTTGTTTCTGTTTAGGGCTTAGCTAATACAGGTAGTCCACGACTTCCAACAGTTTATTTAGTGATCGTTCAAAGTTACAACACCACTGAAAAAAGTGTCATGATCATTTTTCACAGTTACAGCTTTTGCAGCATTCCTATGGTCATGCGATTAAAATTCAGATGATTGGCAACTGGTTCCTATTTATGACAGTTGCAGAGTCCCCGGGTCATTTGATCCCCTTTTACAACTTTCTGACAAGCAAAGTCAATGGGGAAAGCAGATTCACTTAACAACCAGGTTACTAACGTAACCACTGCAGTGATTCACCTAACAAATGTGGCAAGAAATGTTGTAAAATGGAGCAAAAGTCACTTAACAAATATCTCACTTAACAACAGAAATTTTGGGCTGTATTGTGGTCGTAAGTCAAGGACTCCCTATAAAAGGAAAAGCTGCATTGCAATGAAGTTGCCTTTTTCACTTTTCCAACAAGAAATGGATTGGCTCCTTATTGAACCTGGAAGCCCTAAAAATACCATTTCTATACTAACTATTGTGAAGTGTAAATGGATTTTTCTTGGTTTGTTTTCTAGCTCGACAGATGCCAAGCTGTCTGTGATGGTTATATTGTCCTTGATTTAAGGGGGGAAAATCCTCCCAGGTGTTCCTCAGACTTCCTAGGATTACAATTACAGCTCCCAGAATTCCCAGTGATAACAGATTAAATACAATACAGATTATCTCCTTTATTCCCCCTCTTTATTGGTATTATGATGATGATGATGATGGTTATCATTATTCTGTTGCTTTGCATGAACACTGAGAGCTTCTGCTCCGGAGATAAATTCCCTGTGTGCCCAGTCACACTTGGCCAAACAAAGTATTCAATTCAATCCATCAAAACTCTCTCTACTGTACTGGTGCAGTGGAAAGCATTTCCCCTTAGTTAGATTGATCCATTATAAATTCCTGAGAACTGTATGGAGAGAATGCAAGTTAAGAAATTTGAGTTTTGACTTTTTGCTTTGCCCTTTTGGTTTGTGCGTGTTTATTCGTCTCTGGATGACTTATGAGATAAAAGCGCTCTTGCAGAGCACATCTGGTGAGACAGTTGTGGGTTGTTTTATGTTAGGCTGCAGTCTATTTAGAAAGATCATCAGATGTTTACCGAAATGTTCAATAGAAATCTGTGTCATTCTCTCAGGTGTCCCTGCCCCTTGTAAGTCAAAGTGAGACAGACAGGACCATGTACGAATTCCTCTCTCCTTATGTCCTTCTCTATTTGCAAGTTCAGATGTTTTAACAATTATTTTTCACAGAGATCGTTATACTGAACTCTGCTTTCCCAATGCTCCGTTCTGTGCTCATTCTAAGATTTGTATAATCGTGGACCCTCATACGTGGCCCTCCAGTAGAAGGATGCCAGTATTTTAAAGACAATAATACATTCACTTTTGGTTCCTAGTGATGAAATCAAGCATGGTAGATATATTTAGAATAGAATAGAATAGAACAGAGTTTGAAGGGACCTTGGAGATCTTCTAGTCCAACCCCCTGCTTAGGCAGGAAACCCTATACCGTTTCAGACAAATGGCTTAAGGACTTCCAGTGTTGGAGCATTCACAACTTCTGGAGGCAAATCATTCCACTGATTAATTGTTTTAACTGTCAGGAAATTTCTCCTCAGTTCTAAGTTGCTTCTCTCCTTGATTAGTTTCCACCCATTGCTTCTTGTCCTTTGGAGGTGCTTTGGAGAATAGCTTGACTCCCTCTTCTTTGCGGCAGCCCCTGAGGTATTGGAAGACTGCTATCTTGTCTCCCCTAGTCCTTCTTTCTATTAAACTAGACATACCCAGTTCCTGCAACCGTTCTTCATACGTTTTCCAGTCCCTTAATCCTCTTTGTTGCTCTGCTCTGCACTCTTTCTAGAGTCTCCACATTTTTTCTACATCGTGGTGAACAAATTTGGAGAACTGAACCTTGCTTGTCAGTTCTTAAGCACAGAAAGCTGCTTTCCATGCTACCAGAAATGCATCTATTTAGATCCGCATTTCCCAACCTTGGCAACTTTAAGATGTATGGACTTCACCCCCTGAATGTTCTCACTGTAGAATCCCGAGAGTTGGTCCACACATCTTAAAAAACATCAAGATTGCAAAACACTGATATAGATTAACATTCTCATTCTCCATACTGCTGTTTGTCAGCGTTACGTTGAAGTGGGCATCCAGAATTGAATAATTTGCGGCAGTTGGCAGATTCCCAATCCAAATTAAAGAAAAGCAGCAAAAGCCTCTGTTAATCCATTCTAAAAACACGATGCTACAGAGCCACGGCCCTCTTCTGTTTTCTTATCAAATGGAAATTAAATATAAAGCACCTCTGTATTTGAAAGAAGCTTGAGGGTCTGACCTCCTTACAGTCCAGCTTCTCCTCCTATTCCTCTGACTCTGCTTTTGCTCATTGAGCAGAGGAACACACACACACAGGAAAGGAGAGAATTGCAAGACCTGCAATTCTAAAACCCGGATCGCTGTTTCTCCCACAAACACAAAATTGGGATCGAGGGGTCCTTGGTGCTCTCTGAGCTTGGTTGTTTTCTTGCAGACATTTCATCAACCAAATTAGGTAACCACAACTGCGCTAGCTAGCACCAAGGACGTTACCTAGTTTGAGTGAGACACCTGCAGAAAAACAAAGTGGGCACCCCTTGTTTCAATCCTGAGCTACAAATATTTCCCTTTTAAATTAGGACTGCTCACTCCAAAGCCAACTCCCCAGGCAATGCAAAAAACTGTGCATGTTCTGCACCTAATAGCTTAACATGTTGAGACAAAAAACAAATAACCATCTAAACCACCACCACCAAACTTGCGATCCCTGTGTCCTTGGGATGAAGTGGGACAGCAGGCAAAAATCAAACAAGGATCAATTATTACACAACTGTAATGAAATTCCGTACCTCTCTCTGCCTTCTCTTTACCTTCTGAATGTTGCCTTGGAAGATGGAAAGCCTTTCCTTAGCTTAACTACTATCCAGACTTCAAAATAGCTGTCCCAGAATATCAAGGGTGGCAATTTATGTCAAGAGTGATGTAAGCACCCAGCTAACAAAGGACTCATTTCCTTGTTTGCAAACCAAAATCCAAAGTCAATATTGTTTTAAATAGAACGACTATCTATATGGTTCGGGGAGTATTTTTAAAAATGTTCAAAGCATATTTAACCTCTACTGCTTACCTCTACAAGTAACAATATGCCTCATAATCTACAGCTGCTTTATTGGATGAATTGATGGATTAGCATTGAATGTCGCTGAGCGAGAGGAAAGTCTCCCAAGAGAAATAAGCAACAGGGTTTTTTGATCATGAGCATTGGTTAAAACTACAGATGGCTTAGGAGCATAACTACTTTTAGTGCTGACAGTCAAATGGTGCACTTGGTTATCTTTTGTAGTCTGATTAACAAAAATCCTTGATAATTCATTATAGTAGAGAGATCTCTTGTAACTGTGATGGGGAAGGTGGCCCACAGATCCTTCTCTGCCATCACACCAGCCGTTGCCCCAGCCCAGCGCGCCTCCCGCCGGCCAGCTTGTTTTTGGGTCTCTGCTTTGCATATGCACGCAACCACCCCCCCCCCCGCGCTCCCTACCTCTGTGCATGTGGGGCCACCCCCGCACCCAATTTTGGGGGTGGAACGCCTCCTGCATCAATCTGGAAGCCAAAATGGGGCATGGGGGGGGCGGGGCGCACGCATGTACGGGAGGGGGGCGCTTTCGGCACACAACAAAAAGGTTAGCCATCACTGGCTTATAACATTAAGGCCACCCTACAGTGTTGATGGAGGAAACACTCCAGAAGACAGGCTAAAGATACAGAAGGATCTTGACAAACTTAAACATTGGGCACTATCTAATAAAATGAAATTCAATGG